TATTAAAATAATTCGATTTGTTTTTAGAGCTTCATTCAATATCAGTTATTTTACTTTATTCAATATCAGATATTTTCCTTTTTCGGTTCTCTTCACGAAACTATCCATATTTTTCACACCCGCTTAAACAGGAAAGTTCTGGTAAATGTACGCTGTCGAAAAATCTTTATTAAAAGGTGCTTTATCAAATGCGCATGCAAAGTGACAATAAGCGATAAAACAATAGTTGTGTTTTTTTACAACTTATCCAGTAACTTGTCAGCAACTCTCCAGTAACTTTATTTCTAAGAATTCGCTCTCATAGAAAAAATTTGCAAAAAAGTACGCGAATGCTTTTCCAGTAATAATTTGCAAGTTTCATGAGCAGCTGATAAATCGGTTGTTTATTCGCAGCAAATTCCTAATAAAACAATATATTTTGTATTTAAATAGGTTTATTTTGTGAAATTCAACAATAAAAACCCACAAACAGTTTCCTTATTAGTTTAAATTTCATCCAGCAACATGCGATCAGCTGTTTTTCGTACTGGCAAATTCTTACAAGTAAAAATTTATCCAGTAAAAACCTGCAACTTCAACTGTCACTTTTCGCTCTCTCAATTTCCCCTACTTTGCAAGTTTTTGCGTACGAAAACGCCAAAACATGAAAATTCGTAAAAACTTTTACTGGAAATGAATAAACAAACGCAACTAATAATGTGAGAAAAACAAAAACTATCGATGGTGGTACGATAGTCAAAAACCATCGATAGTGTCATCGATAGTTTCAGACCACTACGCCTTGCTGCGAATGCTGTGTTGATGCCGTGTCCGTAGTCGGCGTCGGCAAATATGAAAACGCCCAAAAAAAGTGGTTGAAAAGAATACCCAAAATTAAAATGCAATTAACTTTGAAACACATAAAAATTTATTTCAAAACTAAAAAATTCTGAATTAAGAAATCGAATAAAAACAAATCAAACAATCAATGAAAATTTAACTCGTATACAACACAGTCAGATTTCTTAGAAAAACATTCCGTTTTATGAAACTGAAGTCCATTAAATATTAAAAGGCTTGTTCTAAACTTATTCAATATTCAGGCAGGTTCTACAATTCACTTCCGAGTGAATTTCAACGAAAGTCACTTTAAATTCAAATCGAAAGGGGGTTAAAATACCACCGGAAGTGAATAGCAGAACCTGTCTGATTGATGTACCTTTGTTGCTGCATACATATAAGTATGTATGTACGTACATATATAAACTTACTATGTAGATTTGACAGTATTTAGCTACAAATCTATTATGAACATACATGTGGGAAGCCGTTTTCGATTCGCTATTTTTCTGCTAACGAAAATGTTGTATGGTAGAACAACAACATAGCTAGCGAGCATAAGCGAACACAGGCGCGTTTAGTTATAACTGCTTAGATTGTTAGGTGTTGTTTTAATCAATGCTTCGAATTTAACGGTTTGCTACTTGCCATGTAGTTGGCAAATCGAAAACGTCTTATATGAATTTCTATTTACATACATTGGTGTTAACATAAAGATTATCCAGTAAATTTTGTTTAAACATTTCATTACTAAATGAACAAAGATCTATGTGAATATTTCAGTCAGCAATCAGATTTTCTCAATTTCCCAAAGCTTTACAAATGCACATATTATGTAATGCAAAAACATATCATTGATGCAAAGAGCCCTTTTTGGCGAATATAAAATTTTACAGAAGCAAACAAGATTTTAAATTTTTTATAGGAAAGGCTCTTAAGATAACAAATATCTCGTAGTTTTTAAGATTGGTTTTGAGTTTTGATAAAAAAAGCGTGCTTCAGAGACAAAACTTAAGGAATATTTAAAAAAAAAGCATTACTAAACAAAAAATGATAAATTGGCACTTTTGCATTAATAGCTATGATATATGTCCATACATCTAACTTGATGAGCTCTGGTTATTAAGGTTCTCTATGTTATAATAAAAAAATTAAGTATGTACACCGTTCTGCAAAGTTTAGACTCACTTGGAAAAATCGTTTTACGTTTGTATGGACGGGTCGCTGCCAAAATACCATTGTTGCGACCGGTAAACGTTCGTAAACGAATCAAATGGGCAAAAGAACATAAAAATGTATCTATTGAACAATGGAAAATTGTTTTTATGGACCGACGAGTCCAAATTCGAAATTTTTTGGTAGCAAACCGCGAAAATCTAATGAACGGCACTCACCTCAATGTGTAAAGCCAACAGTTAAGTTTGGCGGTGGCAGTGTGATGTTATGGGGGTAATTAAAGGGATAACTATATAAAAAAAACCTACTTTTCAAGTGAGTCCAAACTTTTGCGAGGCAGTGTATATTCGAAAGAAAATATGTATGTTTTATGTAGTAAATGCACTTTGCAACAATTCGCAATTTCGCAGTTCATGTCTCCAACAGTTCAAGATCCGAAAATGGGTTGCTCCTATCTCTCTAACTCAACTTGAAAGAAATTTATCTATTTGACATCTCTTTAACATTTGCGCCTCGTGCCGCTCTACATGCATCTTTTCATGTGAATGCAATTCAGATACATTTCTAAAAAGATGCGCACAATAAAAACATTGTTGAGAAGTAAAAAACATGGAAAACGTGTGGTGTTCATCTGACGAGAGCTTCTGTTGGTCGGCTGAATATTCTATTCGTTCTGGTATTGTCTGAGTGTACCTTTTACTATTATTTTTATTGACATTGTTGGAAAGATTTAATCGCTTTTGGTCCGCTAGTGCTAATAATTCTTGCAGCCATGTAGCTTCCATAACTTCTTGGCCTTTAATTTCCGAATTTTCTCTTCCGTCAAACTTTGGATCTGGCGGTCCCCTATCCGTACGATTAGACAATGAATATTGGCGACGTGGTTTGGCACAGTTTGCCTTGGCAGTAATTTTGCGCTTCTGTTTAAAAATGTGCCGTTTTCGCACATGCTCCTCTAGTTCATGACTGTCAGCAAAGCGCAACAGACATATGTCACATCGTATATGGCCATCCTTAGACGTATGTAACTGCAATATATGCAGGTTTAGCCGATGAAATCCTTTGAAAGATTGAGCACACAACTTGCAATTGTAGCGGTGTGTAGGCAACTGCTTCAGTGGTGGTTTCACTTTTACTTTAACAAGTGCTGCTTGGATAGCTTTTTTAGTTAGTTTACGTTCGCGACGTGGCTGCGAATTTGCGTTTTTCTGTGCATTAGTCTGTTGAGATGCTAACTTTTTCCTAGTGCTAATTTCTTTTACAGCTTGGACAGGCTTCGGTTTTTCTAATTTAACTTTTGGCTCTATACAATTTTGCTTCGGTTTTCCAGGTGCTACTACTGGTCTTGAAACAGCAGCGATTACAGAATCTGAATGTGAATTATCAACTCCTATGTTCTTCTTATTAACTGTTTTGGTATGTGTGCTTTGATGTTTCAGATAATTAAAGTAGCCTGTAATTATTTTGTGGCATTGTAAGCACTCGAAGAAGTACTGTTTTTTCTTGCTCATTTGATAAATACGTGTAGTTCGCTGCAACTCTTTTTCTTTTCTGGCACCACAATTGGAGAATAAATTCCGAACATGAGTAATTTGGCGAAAATGTGATCGACATTCTGCAGCTTTGTGAGACTGTAGCAAGTGCCGCAAGAGCAACACGTGCTGTGCTCCACATTTTTCCTTGCATATCGGACATTTGAGTATCTGCATCATTGGATCATTTAATGATTTAGATTCTTCAGCATGTTTTTGCATAACATGTTCTTTGTGGGTTTTAAAAATGGCATCAATGCAGCCGCATAGCTGGCATTCGTAATACGTATATCGCTGCATGTATCGCAACCTTATTGTCATTGCAGAGTCCTGCGAGCAACGCGGACGCTCCGACAGGACTTCCCCATCGTAGGTACGATGCTTGCGCCGCATGTGATGTATCAGTCGTTGACTGGTGGCAAATTCAGTCTGACAGACTGGACACTTAACGACAGCATCCAGACAGTTGTTCAGTGGAACATTTCCTTCTAATGGTTGAGTTGATGGTGTTTTTGGCAAATCACTGCTTTTTAAATCTGGTGAAATCTGCGTTGTGCTAACACATTGCTCTTCTGTAAGTTTTGGTGTAATATTTGCTTTCTCTGGACTATACTCTGGGTCAGTAACGTCAACATCAGAGTCATTGTCGCTTGAAAGCAAACTGAGACTGGCAATTAAATTTATCTCCCGGTGCTGATATTTTTCCTTCCGACATTTTTTTCGTTTTCTTGTTTTATTCTTGGGTTTTTTAATATCGTCGGGATCGACTTTGCGGAATACAATTTCTTCTTCATCTGTATCTGGTGTTATTTGCGGAGTCAAAAAGTTCGAGCTACTTACTATACCTGTTGTTGTCAATGGTACCTCCTCATCATCATCTAAGTCAATAACCGCTACCACTTTATATGAGGAAATGTTATCACTTATAGGAGAAGCAACATTTTTCATTATGGTAGTGGGTGTGATTGAGGTAGAAATGTTAGTATTCATAATGGTGCTGCTGGTATTTTGATCATCATTCTGGGATGGGCAGGTCTTTACATTTGTTTCCGACTGAAGAATGGAGTTTGGTGTCGACGCTAATGGCAACGCAGGTGAGGGAGTATTCTCGCGCGACGTCAGCACTTCAATAACTTCGTCAACGCTGTTAATAGCTACACCAGCTGTAGCTGCTACCAAAGTTTGTTGACGTAGAGTCGATGTACACCAATCACTCCCACCACTGCCTGCGCCAACGGACATTAAACGTTTCATTATGCGTTGCTGCTCCACTTTCTCGAAAAATAAATTGTACAACAGGTCGTCATCATCGACGATTATCCTCTCTTCGTTATCTTCATTCTCGTCCAGTCTGTGGAAGTTATGAAGCCGCTCTTCGCAATCATTGCAAATGTTGCCTAAGGTAGGCGTTGTGCACAGCAACTGAAACAATAAACAAAAGTTCGGTGGTTTCCACAAGGTAAAAGATATGCTAATACCCCGGAGGGGTTACAGGCTTACCCCATCATTACATCGTTTTCTACTAAACTTTCGGAGCTCTTTCACAGTGTATTTAAGATTCTTCTCAGTACGGCAAATACGACAAAAGTGCATGTTAGAAACCAATTATGTTGCTGCCTGGCTTAAAATTGACTACAAAAATTAAATTATGAATGAATGTGAAACATAAAAAGTAAAATTGACAAAAAAGACAAATAGCAAGAAAAATGCTATCACACTGCAAAGGCGCGTATATGAGTTTGCGATTAGCGGCGAACTGTCAGTTGTGTTTATTTCGAACGGATAACAAAACAAACAAAAACACTATCATAAGGACCGTGTCAGACGTGGTAAGATTTTCCACTTTTGCACGCAATTCACTGTCAAATTGAGAAAGAGAAATTTTATTTCCATGTGTGAACAGCCAGAAAGGTCTTTCAGCGTGTAATACACGAGGAACGTTTGTTACAAACATGGTTGATAACCATGATTCAATTATACACCTTTAATTATCTCTCAGTCAGAAGTTGCAGGTTTTAGTCCGAAGTTTTTCTTCCTGCAAATTCATGAAAAGTGTCAAGGTTGCATTTGTAAACAAAAACAGATAGCAAAGGACATTAAGCGCCACGGATACAATCAAATAAATACGTCAAGCATTGCATATGTATGAGATTGGCTCGTGTCTTGCCCGCACAATTTCTTTTTCTAGTCCGCGCACTTGCTCACCACGACGATCAGAAGGCAAGTGCGCTTGTTTTTTGTCAAGCAAAACGCGAGCCGGTTGATAAAGATATTTGATCGTCTCCATGGCGCTTAATATTAAAAAAAAAATGGAAGTAGTTACAGGAAAAGTGGGTTTTCGCGTTCCAGGCATGGACATTTTTTTTTCGTGCCGGAATAATCAAAACGATTTGTGGATCTTACCAAAAATTGCCAGATGGCCGAATTTTTATACCATTTTTACTGTAGAATTCAAATATCGCAAACATTCAAAAGTTGTTTCAGAAGTGCAGCCCGTGGTGCTGCCACTGTAATTCAAATATTTCCAGTATTCGAATATGAGATGACTCTAATTTTATCGAAGTAAATTTGTAGAAGTGTCAGTAGTGCTGCCACTGAAACTCGAAGGGTTTTTATAATTACGCACAGGCAAAACATAATTCATTTCTTTCTAGCAATGCAAATAGATGTGTGGTTGCAAAAGTTACCAAAATAAAATAAAAGTTACCAAGTTACCAAATCGTTTAAAAGTTTCCAATTTTGGTAGAAAGTTACCAATTGTGGCAACTAAGGTTCCAGGTGATTTTTATTTTTTCTCTCTTGCTCCTCTCTTTCAAGAGAGTAATTTTGTTATTTGACAGTTTTACAGGTTTTTACACGAAGTTATCTGGAACGCAACTATTCATTTGTCGGTTCTGGCAATTGAATTTGCGCGACTTTTCTTTATCCAAATAATGTAAAATAATAAATGAAATGAAACCTTGTATAAATTCGCCTTGGCAGCTTAAAGCTGCCATTACATGAGGCGATTTTCAAGGCGATTCAACATTGTTCTGGAAAAATCGCCCGTGTAAATGGTGATCCAAAAATCGCTTGTCTCAAAATATACAGCAAGTCAACCTTTGCATGCGATTATCGCCTCTCAAAAAATCGCCTCATATAAAGGCAGCTTAAAAGAGAAAAATGGAAGTATGTAAACCAAAACCATCGATACTATCGATAGTGCCATCGATAGTTTTCCAGCTCTGCAAAAGGCGCGAAACTAGGTAAACAATTGATTAGTGCCGAAAGCAAGCGGCTCGCTAGAATTGTTGGGGTATTTCATTTTGGAAATTAATAAATTAATTTGTTCGTGTATAATAAATATTATTGATGATATGGCTCTCTGGGTGGATAAGCATAGGCCACGTGAGTTGTCCAAACTTGATTATCACAAAGTAAGTTTTTTTTGGCCTTTTTTATTATCGTACTTATTTGTCGTATTTTGTCCATAATCAGGAGCAAGCTGAAAATTTGCGCAATCTGTGCCAGCAGGGTGATTTTCCACATTTAATGTTCTATGGCCCCTCTGGTGCTGGTAAAAAAACTCGTATTATGTGTTTATTGCGCGAATTGTACGGGGCTGGTGTGGAAAGACTGCGTAACGAAACAATGACCTTTACCACTCCATCGAATCGCAAAGTAGAAGTGATGACAGTTGGAAGTAATTATCATTTAGAAGTAAATCCTTCAGATGCGGGCATTTACGATCGTGTTGTTGTTATTGACCTTATCAAACAAGTGGCTCAAACACATCAAATCGATGCATCAGGGCAGCGTGAATTTAAAGTAATTGTACTTTCTGAAGTGGATGAGCTCACTAAAGACGCTCAGCATGCGCTGCGTCGCACTATGGAAAAGTATGTGGCTACATGTAGGATTATATTGTCAGTGAATTCTACGTCGCGCGTTATACCGGCTATACGATCTCGTTGCTTAGGAATACGTGTTCCTGCACCTAGCGAAGAAGAAATAAACGCAGTACTACAACAAACATGCAAGCGTGAAGGATTAACCTTGCCTACTGACTTGGCCACACGAATCGTGGAGAAAAGTGAGCATAATTTACGTCGCGCCTTGTTGATGTTGGAAGCTTGTAAGGTTCAGCAGTACCCCTTCACCGGACAGCAGGACATCGTTGAACTAGACTGGCAAGTATTTTTACGTGAGACAGCCAACCAAATTGTGACAGAGCAAACACCAGCAAAGCTAGAGAAGATACGTGACCGGTTGTACGAATTGCTGGCACAAGGGGTGCCCCCCGATATGATTTTCCGCGGATTAGTAGAGCAACTTGTTAAAAACTGTGACATGTCTCTCAAAGCAAAAACATTGGAGTATGCAGCACTCTATGAACATCGTATGCAGAACGGCGCTAAACATATATTCCACTTGGAAGCGTTCGTTGCTCAATTTATGAATATATACAAAAAATTTATGTCCGAGTCTATGATGATGGACGATTTTTAATTTGTTTTAGTAAGTATAATTTATATTTGTATGTCGTACTAGGAAACAAAATTTAAATAAAAAAAATATATGGATGTACATAAGTTGTTTCATGCCATGAATACTTGTTGGCGCTGGTGTGACCGTTGTTCCTGGAATGCCATTTGTATTTTATCATCCGCTGTGCGCTGTGCCGTATCAATATAGATCTGTATGATGTCTTCTAAATCGCTGAGCACCTAACCCAAATGAAAAAGATTCTTTAACGTACATGTGAATATTGAGAATAAATGAAGTCGTGTGAGCGGAAGTGGCATAACCCTAATTTTTGTTTGTACTTGACTACTTAAAATAGTCTCAAATGTAAATTTTGAAATAGAAGTCGTTTATTCTTTAATTTTAAGGTACAAAGCTATTCAAACTATTTAAGTAAAGTATAAAAAACGCGGGTTACGCCACTTTCGCACTCACGGCCTCAAATATGTACACGTACGCACCTGTTTGTACTCAATATCTGAATCAGCGTTTAATCTTAATCCATGCAACAAGAGATCTAATGTATTCACTGGCAGACACATCTCTTGATTGGTAACAGCAATTGCATGTTTAAAACTAAAATATTCGCTTCCAGCACCTAACATTGCGCTGATCATTTCCTGTGCTAATTCGGCAGCCTCAATCAACCGATTATGTTTGACAAACAAATACAACAACTCGGTGCAATTAGCCATCTATTAGGGTATGTGAGTAAATTCAAATAAGACATTTCCTTAAGAGAAATTCTATGTACCTTATATTCATTGTATAACCATTGCGGCACAAAAGCGTTGAGGCTAAGCAGTTTGTTCACCACAGATTTGCGTATGCGTGTTGCATTTTCCAACTCATTGTCATAAATAAGTTTTTGTAAAAATGACCAGGCCATATCAGCAGCTTTATTGCGGTGAGGTAAATCTAAATTATAGCAAGAAACCGTACATCAAAGATTATCTTTAAATATACTCCATACGTCCACCTACCAGCCAAGTCATTTTCCTGTAACCACGCCCATGCCTCATTAGCGCTTTCCTCAGAAACGCGTACACACGCTGCAGTTAGACTTTCGAATATGGAAAGAGTTGATATTTCGAAGCCATTGACGAGCTTAAGTGCAGCAGTATAGAGTCCACAGCCAGATAAAATAATCGCCAATTCTTGTGGACCTGCATGGATAAAAGTTTGTATGTCTTTGCGATGATCTGCGAGTCGCATCAGTGCTTCCGTATGCAATAATTCACGTTTTATATCTTTTATTTCTAAAACTACAACTTGTTCACGTATGGCATCATCATCTGGCTTACTATCCATCGGCTCTGAATCATTTAATGCGCTCAATGGTTGTGCGTCATCTAATCCAATCACTGGTTTCGCTATCCAACGATATCGCCTATCAATTAGATGCAGAGAGTTGATACAAACTAAAAGGGAAGCGCAACGTTTTTCCATAGATTCGATAGAATCGCCTTCAAGCTGGAAACGCATTGCCTGCTCATACATTATGGCAGAAGCTGTAAGTAAAGAAAAATCAATAAATTTAAAAGGAATATGATATATTTATTCAAATAATTACCTTTTCTCATATTTCCGTTGTTGACATGAAATGCATATAGAAAATCATATACCTCATTCTGATCGATTACTAGTGACCGTGCACGCGATTCCACAATATTTTCGAATTCTTCGTGTAACCCAACATAGGGAAAATGCATGAGTAAGTCGAGTCTTTTACGGTTAAATAATGTCACAACTAGCTGACGAAGGCAATCTTTGCGACGTGATAGCTCCGCATTATAGATGAGCGAGTGGTAGGCCTCCTCGTAGTGTTCTAACTGCAGATGATTATTGAAAACGATAGATTGAAACATCGGCAATTGAGAGTCAGATTTTCCCAGTAACCCAATGGCTACTTGTGCCATAGAAATAATGTGGTCCAACGCGTTATGCTGTTCAAGCAATTGAATCACTTTCAAATAATATTGTGTAATGACTTGGTTATTGACGTTAGTATCTAACGCGTCACCACCGTCATTTTCTCCGATAGTAGATAGATATTCTGCACGTTGAGCCAGTGGAGTACCCTTAAGAATTTTGTCTGTTAAGAATTGTTCGCGTAGTACACCTTTTGCTGACTGGAGGAAAAGGTCATAGGCTTTAAATGATTCCCCACTGTCAAGCAAGGAAACGGCCAAAATAAATTGTCCTAAAAAATAAAAATTATAACTTTATACATGGAGATCGATTTTAATAAGAGGTATGCACTAGGTGTAAATTAACTTACGTGAACAAATATTCCATTCACACCAATTGCTAAGCAAACGCACATAATTCTGAATAACTATGTGTTGGCAGGTTCCAAATAACCATTCACCAAATACAAAATTAAAAGAGACTGGCCAGCTGTGAAGAAAGTAAAGTACAAAAATAAATTTAAAAAACAGTTGATCCTTCAAAATTTTCTAGCTGTGAACTTACATCAATTGACTGACGATGGTAGTAAGAGGCAGTAGGGTATTCGACAAAGTGGGGATATTTTCACTATTCTTAAAATTGTCAGCGTAAAGTGCCATGGAGGCATACAATCCTTTTGCGTTTAAGAAGACTCGCACCAAAGGAGATACATGATATTTTCCACCATTCGAGTAAATACGCCCTGAACCATTAGTCAATTGTAAGAGGTTCAAGCGTTGTATTGAACTCTCCCTAAAAAAGTATTTTTTAAATACGAGTAAGGGCCGTTAACTTGTCACTTTTAAAGTATAGTTGAATCAGAAGTTTAAACTACATACAGAAAATTCCATATAAATTTATGTAGTTAAGTTTAGCTAATAATTCAACTATACTTTAAAACGTACATTTGCTGCAAGAGTCTCATAATAAAAATAACAAAATTGAGTTACGGATTACACCTTAGGGAAAATCTCAAGTTTTGAAATGACACAATGATGATTTTGACACTCTTGCAGCACATTGGCGATATGTATTTATAAATTACGTACAAAGATGCAGCTGCGGCTATGTTCACGGGCGTCTCTGCTATCCAACCCATTACAAAGTAGGATTGCAAGAAAATCGTTGTATCAGGCATGAAATGAGAGCGCATTTTTTCTAACAAATCTACACCAAGAGAGTAAGTGTCAATAAGAATCTGCTGCATAATGAGTAAATTGCGGCATATTGAAAATCTATAAAACAAAAAATGTTCCATTTGTCACTATAAATAAACGTAAGCTCTTACTTTATTGCAGTTATCTGACGCACAGTTTCCGACAGTACTGACAAACCCAAATGACTACCGAAAAGAACACCAACCGTAGATAGATATTGTGAAGACTGCACTATACCTATAAACATATACGTGTATACAATATTTATTTTTACTGATGTTATTGCTACCTAAATTCGTTTGCATTCCAGCTGGATTGCCATTATCCATTCGAAGACTTTCAAGTAATAGCGTCATTGCCATTCCCATATCATTAATTGACTGTATTTTCTGCCTTATCCACACCAAAAAGGTGCTAGGAAATAATTCTCGATCAGGATCACCTGCTAAAATTTCGTCACTCAATTTTGCGATGAATACATTTGGCATTTCTAGCCGATACAGACGTTTATCTATTTCTCCTTTGGTTTCATCCGGCAGCCAACGCTCAAGCTGAGCGACAATGGAAACTAAAATAACAAGGTCCTCACCCACCCTCTCATTCCCAGCGAAATATGTGGAAACAGCTGTATTCACGTCAAGATCATCGCTGACCAGCATAAAATGTTCTAATGTTTCACATGGGCGCAAAAGGGAAAAAGTGTTCTTCTTCACCACACACAGACCATCAATTGGTTCGAGTAGAAAGAATCCACAGGGTTGGCATGATTTTAAATGATATTGTTCGCAACAAGAATAGAAGCGTTCCCATTGTCGAGTAGCTATTTCCAAATAATCCTCATCAGTGACATCGAATTCTTTGACTTCATTCTGTATTTCATCCTCAACTGCTTGACACACCTGATCCTTTAGTATAGGTAGTGTACAGTGCTTGGATTCAAAACGTAAATTTGTGCGCCGAAACATCTAAACGAAACATTTAAAAATTGTACACGTACATATAACATGTACATAATTAGTATGTATGTATATAGTAAATTGGGCATATGTTGTTGTAAAGCTTACAAATAGGGCCTTCGCAATAACTTCGCGTTCGAATATGCCCCGTTGGAAAATATAATTACAATAGGCTTCACGAGGGTCCATGCCATGTTCATTTACAATGCAGTATCGATCCGGTGGCGGTTCCAGTGCTACCGATGACCAATTCATACCCAAGCCGCGCAATAGCGGATAATTCGATATGCTAAATTCACCTTCGGCATTTGTCCACAATGCCCAGATTCTATTTTCACACACTGCAAAATCAGCTAAATCCAGTGCTGGTGCAGGTATGCTTTTACGATAAC